TGGTCCCGCACTGGCCCTTCTTCCTGAAGCCTCCATATAAAATAAGTTAATTCATTGAGCAGCAAATCTGTCAGTGTCTGTCCCATGGCTAACGGGTAATGCAGATGAACAAATTCAATTGTTAAATATATTAAGATTCCTAATTGACTCTCCATGCTATAGTTTAGCACAGTGGTTCCCAAAGTGGGCGATATCGCCCCCCTAGGGGCGGTGGAAAGATTTTGGGGGGCGGCAAGGAAGAAAATGGCGTTAAGGGGGCGATAGGGGGGCGATAGTCCGAAGTCAATGTTAGAAGTTCGAACGTTTATTTGACGATTTGTACACAACACGTGCAGCACACGACTCCCAGCGATAGTTTTTTTCACCCAGATCTGTTTTTTTAACCTCTCCTGGGTTTACGTCTCGGACAAATTAAAGGCCGGACCCGCGGCCGGTCTAAAGGCCAATTTCCAAATTCAATGATCAAGGAATATCTCTCAAACTAATGAACTTAACTCGATGAAACTTGGTACACGTATTCATTAGGACCGAAAGATAATGTTTTACTTATGAAAATTGTTCGAATTTTGCCATCGTTTGTTTTTGCCATAGTTATATGGCAATACGGGCCGAAATTCATAGTGATCAAGTAATTTCTTCCAAACTACTGAACAGATTTGAACGAAACGGTATTTAAATACCTAACCTCAGCAACGATGATTTTACAATTTTTTCGTTTTGCATTCGTTTGCGAGTTATACGGTTATACGTATACGGCTCTTGGTTAAACTGACCGGTAGAAAAGCTGGTCGTTCCTCCTATATCTGTATAACTCGCGAACGAAAGCAAAATAGAAAAAATTGTCACGAGCTAAACATCACCGTTGAGAGGTTAGGTATTTATATACAAAGTTTCGTTGAAATCTGTTCTATAGTGTTGAAGAAATTTCTTGATCGCCGGGAATTTAAGTGACAAATTACCCGGCGATACGGGCCGAATGTAAGGAAGTGTGAAATCAAGAATGGCGGTAAAATGAAAAAAAAAACTCGAAAGCGAAGGTAAATCGAAAAAAATTTTATAAGCTAAGAAATCACCGTTTGGTAGTTAGGAATATATATTCAAAATTTCGTTCAAATCTATTTGGAAGTTTCAAATAGTTTGGAAGAAATTCTTTGATCACTGCGAATTTCGGCCTGTTTTGCAATGTACGCGTTACTCACGAATGAAGGTGATTTTTAAAAAAAATTACAAGCTGAACATCACCGTTAGGTTCTGATGAATACGTGTTTCAAGTTTCATAGAGCTGCGCTCATAAGTTTGGGAGATATTACTTGATAATTGAATTTGGAGATTGGTCGTGAGACCGGCCACGAGTCCGGCCGTAAATGCGCCCGCGACGTCCCTAGGTTTCTAATGCTGAAACAGTTAAAACAGCTGAAAAAGATATTGGTTTAATAAATGGGTTTCTATTTGTGAAATAAACATTTGTGTTTAACCTTTATCTTTTACAATTGCAGCGTACTAAATTTCAAGAAAGAGGCGTATGTCTGTGGGGGGCGCTAGAAATTCACTGGGGAGCCAGAGGGGGCGCCAGCCTGAAAAAGTTTGGGAACCACTGGTTTAGCAGATAGTTGATGAAATACTAAGCCAAATAAAGAATTTCAATATTCCAAAATATACACCTAAGCAGTATTTAATCAATAATAAGATATCTAATTTATACAATGCACGATATATATTTCAAGACAGTGCTATATGGGCGAAAAAACTACTGTTCAACAGCACGGCGCGCAGGCCGGATTTTTCTCACCCGAGGTTGGAGAACGAAATTGACTCGCAGTGAAGTGGCTACGTGAGGTGGCGGCATGCTTGAGGTGGTCTGAGCTCTAATTGCTTAAAGGCCCATACCCGAAGATTTCTAAAACAGTGTTAGCTATCATAAACGATAAATATTGCAGTGAGTTGTCTATAGTTTCAAATTCAATTCAGTATTTCTAAGTCAGTGTCAAACTGAATACATTTTTTTATCGTCTCACCTTCGCCTCTTTCAGCCTTTGGAATTTGTGTGGTTTGTAAACATTGTCATTTTAACAAAGCGCCGAGGATGCTGAGATGACGAGATGTTCACAATCAAGTTGTTATTTATTAATGTTCCAAAGCTATTTGTGAATTTTGAACAGTGCACATGCTGAAGAAAATTTTCTATCAAATCCGCCATTAAAAATCTATAAAACAGTCTGTTTGCTAACGAACCTGCAAGTAAAATTTGCCGGTAGACAAATAATTTTTTCGTCAGAGATCTGTGACATCTTGCTCTTCCCCTAACATTAATTTCGTGCACAACTTCGCAATTTTACGTGTTCCCTTCGACCGGCACCAATATGGCCGTATTCCCTGACGCTGGATGAACATTTGACAAAGGTCGCTTCGTGGAAGAAAGTTCCTATTTGTATCTTGCTATTTATAGAAGATTTCATGTCCTCGTCCAGAATTTTGCAAAGTTTTTCATTGCGCAGGTCAAGCTACATCGAAGTACCATATTGTACGTCTTCTGTAACATCTTAAATGAAAACGCCAATAATTATTCAATTCAAACGGTAAATTTACAGAAAAATAATTTCCTGAAAATGTGAAAAAATAATCAGGGACAAGATTAGATTAAGACCTGAAGTGATTATAGGTAAATTATGCTATTATGTGTGCTTATAGAATAGTAGTTCGTACATTGCTGCTAGAAATTTAAAACCGGTCCAGGTAATTTAATTGTAAATTTAGCAAGCTGCATTATTACATGCCGCATATCTGCGTAAAATTATATAATTAATCTTAGAAACAATGCGGGTATCATTCACTTGTAATTCACGCAGTATATTGACTTTTGTGTGCATTTTTGTATTCAAAAAATTTTGACCAGAATACTTAGTTACTTGTTCCCTTAATTATCCCTATCACATCATTTGTCGTCCATGACATTATATGTTTTGAAGATATCATCTCATCGTATTCATTCCATGCCGGCAATTAGTTTAAATTGTAGGTGGTAATGCAGCTGTCCCGCTTGTCAGGCGTGCCCCTGGTGACGGTCATGCTGCCGTCCTGCCAGCTCGTCGCCGTCGTCTACTCAACCCTCTTTGTCAGGTCCTCCTTGCTTCAGGTGAACCTTAACTAATTATCATGTATTTGATCAGCACTGTTGAGTCATGTCTTGATGATATTTAGTATCAATATTCCTTTAATAGGTAATATTGAAAATTATTTAATGAAGCCTTACGTAATATTTCACTCTTTATGGTATAGGTTCGGCTTCCAGTGTCACTGTCGGCGCTGTTGGTGCTGGTGACGCTCTTCCGCCAAGCAGTTTACGAGCTCCCCAGGACGCCCTACATCAAAATTATGGACGCTTGGTTCCTCTCAGTGACAGTCATCGTATGCGCTGTAATTCTCGCCTACACCGCATCTGAATATGCCGACATAAAGCATGAGATAAAGAGCAGCTGAGAAAAAGATAAGTAGGGAAATTAACCAACGAAAAGACGTAACAAAAACAGGTAAAACGAGAAAGATTATTTAAAAATGCATTTACGTGCTTTGCCTTTGTCAGTTGTCGACTACATGTCATGGTTTTGACTACGTAGCGACGTGCAGTAGAGGACTAACATTTCAGCAAATAAAATATACTAAGTTGAATGGAATATTTGGTTACCTTTTCTATAGCTCTGAGCTTTGTAAGTAAATTTTCGGTCAGAGCTTAAATATTGACTACCATGACAAATGATTGTAAACTGTCGAAGAAAATTTATTACTAACTCTTTCAAAAACTGTTATTCGAAAGAAAGTTCAGAAAAATTCATTCCTTCATTAATCGTTTTTCCGATAAATTAATCATTTACAATACGTTTCCGAACCCATTGAACTTGCAACCCGTTCTTCCACAGCCATCACACAATATCAGCGTCTCAAGCCTCTATGAAATAGAATCACCAAGGTAAGACTTCCCATCAATCAACTGTAGCCGCGTGATAAATCGTTGGAAACATTTCACTAATATCGCCTGCCTCAGAAGCAGCTATTGACCAGCCACTCAATAGGCCACCCGATGGAGCTCGTGCTGTCACTTGCTACTAGTGGTACGGCTTAGTGTTGGAGAGAGAGAAGACTTTGGCTATCACTGCTCTCGTTGTTTGCTTGGAGAAACATATAAGATGCTTACTAAAAATTGATAATTGGAGTGATACTTCGAGGATATTTTCTTTAAGTGCTACAATATTTCTGTCGTTGACCATGACTGGAAGTGTGACCGTGCGCGTGTTTCAGTTCCAGGAGGATGTGTGACAGGCTCCCAACATCAGGACTTTCGCTCGCTATGACTTCTCGCAGGTAACTGAAACATTTTAATCCAATCGATAGGTAAAGTTAATTGTGTTTGAATGACTTATAATTTTTATTTACTTGCTAAGAAGACAAAAATTGCCTCAGAGTTGATCAATAGGGAACAGGAATATAATTTAACGCTCATTGGTTTTTCCTGAAGTATTCCAATCCATTGCAGGAGCCCTTGAAGACGATCACTAACTTCACCATATGCTACCGCCTGAAGCTGGCGGCAATTGTGCAAGGAAACGTCCACCTATCCTACGCCAACCCCAGCTTTCCGAATAATGCTCTGCTACTAGGTAAGAAAGGGCTTACAACTGCTTTCTGGTGTGCATAAGGACTGTCCATCTTCCTGCATCCGGATAAACGTAATAATGAATTAGTAATGTCACATTTCAATAAAATTTAGAATAATATTAGGCCAAGATTTACCATTGAACAAAATTCAATAGGATTAACTAATTTTAAATTATCTTAACAGAAGATTCGAGAATGAAGCTGGAAGTGTTTTACAATGATGCCTACAAATTAGGCGCGTACTCGGTTGAACCTATTCTCCACAAATGGCAGCACTACTGCCACACCTACGACAAGCAAGTTATTAAAAGTTACCACAACGGCTTACTAGTAGCTTTCCATGAAATTGAGTCCACCACTAAAACAGGCCTCAACTTGGATGGAATTCTGATACTCGGGCAAGACCTAGATTCGCTCGCCGGAAATTTTGACGTCAATGAAATTCTTCGAGGATCGTTAACTCAAGTAGAAATCTTTGATCACGTTCTTGGAGAAAGCGATATTTATGAACTCCTGCACTGTGGACAAGTTCCATATAACCCTTTATTTTCGTCAGATGTTGCACCATTTGAATTATTCGGAGTCAAACTGTTGATGCGTCAATCGAAAGCTTATGTGACAAAACGGAAACCTTCTTAATGTTGACAGATATCGCCACATTCGACGAAACCATCAAAATGTGTTCGAGAACTGGGGGAAAAGTTTTCATTCCTACCACCACGGAACAAAACAATAAGATTCATTCCGTGTTGACACAGCCTTCATCTGTCTGCAGTCCAAATTATCAAATCTTACTTGGCGTTCGAAGGAACATTATATCAGAACACTGGAGTTCCTATGATGGACGAAGGAATGTAGACGTAGTTTTCTTCCGGGAAAATGCTGATTCGGTAACGTTTGCTAATAACGACTGTGCTTCAATGGGTATTTCTTCTCCACTGTGGTATCTTGACAACTGTTCATCAAATCAGCCCCTCTCGTGCACACCTTGTTCGTATGGTAATTTTCCACCGCTTAGACTTAAAGGTTTGTGCTTCAAACAGGAAGAATTTGGGTTCACTTATATTTTAGGGTACCACTCGAAAACCCCATATTTTTATTCACTTTCTGGAATTCTTATATACAAGGAGAATAACAACGAGTGGTACATGTTTGATGCTACTAAGCAGAAAATTGTAGCATCCATAAGGTTAGTTGCCGACACCTACAATCCTCTGGGAAGGAAACTTTGGATCGTGCAAGTTCATGGATTATGCCAGTTTCGACAACACGACAATGTCCTCATCACGCTAACGTCATGTGAATCTTCAATGTTCACATGTGATTCTGGAGACTGCATAGCTTCAAACGATCTATGTGACGGGATTGCTCAATGCCAAGACCAGTCGGATGAAAGTAACTGTGCCATCTTACATGTTCCCCAAACATATAACTCTCGCAGTCCCCCACAGAACGAAGCCCCACTGATTATCATCTCCAACATCGAAATCTTGCAGGTGCTGGAAATTGATGACGATCATCACTGGCTACAGTTGGATTTAGTGGTAACATTAACTTGGAAGGACGGTCGGTTGAAGTTCATGAACCTTCATAAGGATTCTGATGATAATTTCCTCAGCGACGACGAAGTAGCGCAAATTTGGATCCCAAAGTTTCAATTTTCTCCTGTTCAAGATGGGGATTCTACCCTCATTGACAAACAAGTCCAGATTGTGGCGGCTGGGGAAGCGTTGTCTACAGACTACAACAGACACAGAAAAGGTGATGGAGAATTGAAAATTGGGCGATCCAATTTTTTGCTGCGAAATCGGAATTATTACACAATTAGTCACTTTAGGTTACTGATTACATGCATGATATTCAAATAAGATTGATAATATTTCAGAATAATAAAAAATTTATATGAATTACTAACGTTGACAAATATTTGACAGATTCCATCTATCCAGGCTTGTCCGGTGAAATCGTTCTCTCCCAATACTACAGGTCAGTAATGGGACTAGCGGGTCTCTTCGGTCATGTTTGCAATCGTTATTATAAAATTGAATCTCTATATAGAATGAATGCCTTATACTTTGTTGAGGCCACTGAAGCTGACCATTAAATTTTCCATTTGCGATATGAAAACATTTTATACTTTATGGCACTGAAAACAGTTAGTAGAGAAGTGGAAAAGACGCGAGATTGTGCGCAACTTGTTGTTCTTCTTTTTTAGTATCAAGTTTGTGTGCCACTTCAAGGTATTTCGGTACCCTTTCGACCGGCATCAATGCCCATTCTTTCTGACGTTGGATGATATCTGGGAAGAAGTTCGGTTCTTGGGAATGAACTCAGTCATAAATGTGACTCTTAAGGAGCCCTCGTCTTCGTTCGTCGTTCAGAACATCTCGCAGTTTGTCACCACTCAGGACGGGGCCAGCAGCGTCCAGGTCTTGTATACTCGTGTTATCGTCATCAGGAATTCATTTTAATTTCACTTAACACGTTGACCGCGTATTGGTACATATGCGCACCACGAAATGTATTTCTCCAGGAGGTAGTGGTACATAATTCAGGTTGCCTGAAATCGGCCAAATCCGAGAACAAAAAAGGCCGATAATTCAATGTATACTAGTTTATTTGTAGGTTCCGCTGTAAAAATTCCATTTCTTTTCTTTTTGCAGTATTTAAAATTCAATTAGGAAGTACCCCTATCATAAATTTTAGCCGGCAAACACAATTGAGAAAAACTAAATCACGGAATTTGTCCGGAAAAAATGACCGTCTGGCAACCCTGCTTAAAAAAAATACAAAAAATGAAATAATAGTACAAGATGAAGCAATCGTAGTCAACGTGTTAATCATATAAATTATCTTCACTGACAACTTAATGCGGACAGTGAAAATTGTCTTCGAATATCATAATTAACGCAATGTCAATAAGGATAGGAAATGAATTATTATAGTTAAAGCTTGCTAGAAATCTATCATCCAGACAATGTTCTGACCCATTACATAAAGTTTGAAGACTACTAGTGTTAATTTTAAAATTTCATACTATTTTCTTTAAATCCTATAAATTTCACGATAAAATTCGATGCAACTGGCCTGCGGTTCAGGAGTAAGGATAAGATGACGACAGGCAGTTTCGTGCTAAGCTCGGCAAGTTTACGTTCGTGTTTTACATTCTTACCGACGAGTCATAGACCAATCACTAGCTAAAAATTCTATATAAAATAAAGCTGATTTAGAACGAGAACCATTGACCAGCTACGACTAAATTGCAATTGCACAATGCATTCTTAAGGGGACCGACCGGGCTAAAATTTTCAATTTTGGCATTTTTCGGTTTTTGTGCTCATCTGAAAGCTGCAATTCTGCTCTTTCCAATGGTACCACTGCCATCGCTGTACGCCAATATTTACGTTAATGACGTCTCTTTAAAGGGAAGCGGGTGGGAGAGTTCTTTAAGAAATTAGATATAAATTAATTAGCTGCTGAAATCTTTGAATATATCGAGCTCCCCAGGACGCCCTACATCAAAATTATGGACGCTTGGTTCCTCTCAGTGACAGTCATCGTATGCGCTGTAATTCTTGCCCATATTGCCTCTGAATAATAACTGGCATGAAGCATGAGGCTGAAAAAAGCAGTTCCTCTTCTGAAAACAAGACCCTTTCGAGAAGAATGGCCAAATGCAAGGCCATCGAGAAGAAGCCGTCACAGGAATGGATGAAAATAATGAGGTTGTATGTATTTCCCTCAGCTACCGCTGGCTGTCTTGCATTTCTTTGGTTTTACAGTTTCTATATATGAAGAATTATTACGTGTTGAAGACCAACACTCTCCGGCTCGAAACATAATACCATAAACTCTTCTTTCTCTAACGTCCTGGCTATATTCATGAGCTACTGCTTAATCAGCAAGTCGCTAACTCAGCATGACAAAGCTAATTAATGTAATTAGACCGACCCTGCCAAGCAAAACTGTGACCTAGCATCAGTCCCCCACCACATGAAATATTTTAAAACCAATTAGATAAAACATTTTTGAGATCCTCCCGCATTCAGTTTCTACAATTACAGAATGTAAATCCTATGCACCGAATCAGCCTCCCTTCGAATGGCAAATTGGTTGTCAAAAAGGATTAAGGATCTTGTGTTTTTGTTGTGGCCCCAAGCTCGACACCTGGCACTACTGGACAAGCCGATGATGGAGCCAGCGAGCGATGGCACTTATGCATTGCCAGAGGTCTATTGTATTGAGAGTAGTCAGGTTGTTGGCGAGGTGAGGCACATCGTCCGGAAAAAGAATGAGAAGCTGCCGGACTGCCGGTCATAAATTTAACTCATGAACATGAACAAGCCTTGTAGCAAACGATCGGTATAAAATTTCTCGGCTAAACTCAGCCATAGAGCTGCAAAGTCGCTCCTGTATATTATACCAGATTTCCCTTTAATAAAATACCAGAAAATACCAGATCTGATACACTTCAGTTCCTTGACGACTTGAAGCCAAAGGCGCTGTGTGCCTGCAGCCGCTGCTCTAGCCGGTTTATGCTACGGCCAGACTAAAAGCGTTCACGCGTACGCTGGCTGACGCTTCAAGCAAAGCGGCGCCGCGCTGCGCGTATGGTGTCCAAACTAGACGCTGAACCGCGCAGCTTACTGTGAGTCTGTGTGTAGAAATGCGTGTCAGCAAGAGACTAACAGCCGTTCGCCTGGATGAAAGTTTTATACAAAAGGAAAGATAAGTTTAAAAATCCCATACCTATATACTTTGTTTTGTCTTTTTTGGAATTCATTCAGATAAGATTAGATAGATATTTGATAGGTTATATATGATGCATACCTCGCGAGTCATGATGAAACGCAACTTGTGTAGCTAGAGGTGATGAAGCTTACCCATTGCTTCCAAACTTGATGAGACCATGCCCCCGCAAAAACTTAGATGAAAGCAAAAAAATATTCAACTACAGACTATCAAGAGCTCGGCGTTGTGTAGAATGCGCCTATGGCATTATGACTTCAAAATTCAGAATTTTAACGAAATCCATCGAGACCAGCGTGGATAATGCTGTAGAAATAACTAAAGCAACTACAGTTTTGCTCGTGATTCTTGTTAGGGAGAAATTTGATAAAGACACGGCATTTACATCAATGAAATTAAATGCATCGAATGAACAACATGAAACTATAATTGCTCCCGTTCATAGAAACAGCTCTAGAATTGCAACAGATGTTCGGAAAA